GTTATACTAAAAACAATTAGTAGGAGTAAAGTGACAATAAAGATCATACAGCAACAATAACATATTTCTATATAATATATATATTAAAAGTTATTTAAACATGAGTAAAAATATTATTTTCACCTAATTATATTTTAAATTTTTATTTTTTAATTATTATCATTTATTTAAATTATTTTTATTTTTTTTAGATTTTGTACATCGCATGAGCCACATACTAGTTGTCCCTAAATGTTGGTGATAAATTGTATATTATTAGAACGTTTATATGTAAAAGGTTTTTTTTTAATTCTATTAAAACATATTAAAAGTAATTTATAAATAAGATTATAAAGAATATATTACGATCTTATCCAAATGCCAAATATATGCAAGAAATATTTAATATTATGTTATTTTGTAATATAGTTTTTAAAATAACTTTTTACAGTAAAATAAAGTAAGTATGTTTGATTACATTAATTTTAAAAAATAAAATTTAAAAATCAAACAACGATGGTGGTAGCCAATGGTTACCCCTTCCAGTGCTCTTTGGACAGAATTAGATCTAATAATTTAATCTAAACTTGACAGGACAACTAGAATGAGCTTGAAAAAAAAAAAAAATAGAGTTGAGCTTGATAAAACAATACATATCTAATATTTGGGTCTATTCGCCCAAAATCCAAATACTTGAAAAACATATTAATTTTTTTAAAATATATAATATATTAAGTATTAATTAAGTCTTAGTTTATTTTATGTTGAGAGATTGCATATTTGAGTACATTATTATTGATATTTTTTAAAAAAATTAAAAAAATTAATATTGTTATATTTGTATTATTATTAATCAATAAAATATCTTAAAATAATATTTAAAATGTATTTTAATCTTGATGTTTAAACTTTTGAAAGAATCACCAAAAAAAAAATCCTCTTGAAATATCCAATTGACAACAAGGTCAACAACACATTTTAAGTTCCTTGAAAATTTTTTTGACATTAATGTCTTTTATGAAATGACTAAAATGCTCCCAATTCAAAATAAAAAAGAAATAGGTAGAGTGAAAACTTGTTATTTACTATCTCGTTTTAGTCATTGTCAAGATAAAAGTATTAATTTCTTAAACCAAAATAGTCACTGATATTAATAGCACTTAGATTTCAATGATTAAAAATTTGCAAGGGAAAGTTATAATTATTTACCCTGTTTTAGTCATTGCTAGCAAAATGTAATCATTTCTTAAACCAAAATAGTAATTGCTATTCACAATACTTAAACTTTAGAGTGTGTTTGGGAATTTATGATTGAATAAAAAAATGGTTATCACTGGAATGGAACAATTTACATGACCATCATTTGAAAGTTATTATAAAATGAATGAAATAGAATGATTTAAAAGTTTTTTTCTTCCAATATTACTCATATGACTAAATTTAAAGAAAATAATAATGCCTATTAAATACTTATAATATTTATGCAAAAAATAATAATAATTAATGGTTAAACAAGATACTCAAGAATTAAGAATAAAAAGAAAAAGCAAGTAATAAAACTCTTTAAGCAAACATTCTTGTTATACCAAGGGAAAACACAATAGAGTTGTAATGTTGAAAGACGTGATAGAGAGAGATGGCAAGAGCAAGAGAGATATGGTGGGAGGTGGGAGGTACAGCTATACACTATGCTTGAATGCCTAATCAGCCCAACCTTGCCCAAAACATTTGGACACATAGGACCAAGCATCGATAGGGGTCAAATCTTGCCTTGCTCGAACATGTGCAAGTTTTTTTTATTTTTTTTATTTTTTTGTGAATAATATTTATCATATGGCATTTTTTTATTGAAAGTTATCATGAATTATATTATTTTTATGATCTTTTAGACATTTTTATCATTACGATTTTTTAAATCTCTTTCAAAATTTAAATTTATTTTTAACTTATTATTGTGTAAAAATAATTGGCAATTGTTGTAAAATTACTTTTGATTCTAATATTAGTTTTATGAAGAATATATTTTAAATAATAATAATAATAATTTTTTCAAGGAAAATTTTTTATATATTTTTCAAAAAAATACTTGTAAAATTATTTTTCAGTCAATCAACCTAATTTGGTGCGCAAGTGCACATCGGATTGGGTATCGACCTGAGGTGATGCTAGGCTTGACCTTGCCCATGTGCAATTAGAGTTGGGGTAATTAGGGCAGGTTGGGCTTATTAGAATCAAGTTCAATTTGAGTCAGGCTTATTTAGATTAGGCTTGAAGTATCTCACCCTCTTAAAAAAGTTTATATAGTCAAATCTGACCTTAATTTTTCTTAAACCAGATTCAGTTTGACTCGTCGGGTTTGGCCAAAATTACCAACTCTATATACATGTAGAGTTGAAAATCCAGCAATTGAGCTTATTCAAATCGAGCTTAAAGTATCTTGCCTTATTAAAAAAATTCATATAGCTAAGCCCGACCCTAACTTTTTTTTAGCGAGTTCAAGCTAACCCATTGGACTTAGCCCAAATTATCAACTTTATTGCAACCCTAGCAAGAGGTGAAAGAGATGGTTAGAGAATGAAAATAATAGATGAGTTTTTTATTAGGATAGGAGGTTAGGGGTAATTTTACAAATGAAATAATTATACTATATCACTTTATTCTTGACCCCCCAATTTAGGGGGACAAAAAATATTGAGCTATGGATGACAAAGGAGGGCTTTAGAGGCCATCCCTCGCCATTCCATCCTTTTAAAAAAAAAACTCACAAATAATGGCTCATATCTTTTAATCATCCCACTCCACTCCATTCCCCCTAATTAAAAAAAATCTTCCAAACATAGTGTTAGTGATCAAAAGATTTGCGGAATGGAATTTGTCATTTGCTATCTTGTTTTATTCATTATCAGAAAAAAGTATTTATTACTTACACCAAAGTATATGATGCCCGTTTCTTTTTTATTTTTAAGATTTAAAGTTTAATTTTATTCTTGTACTTATTTTATAAGAGTGCTAGGTATCTTATCATCTTAAGTGAGGCAATTTTACCTCTAAACTATTTTTTCAAGGAGCAAAAAACCCCTTTGTTAATGAACCGTTAACTTTACTATTATATGTTAATGTGGGATGTTTGTGAGGCCTACATACAATGATGGGTAACATGCTAACCATGTCCTTTGGTGTTAATTTGTCCTTAAATTATTTTTTAGAAATACTAAATATCCTAAAGTTTTTTTCTAGGAGCACTATGTATCTTGAAGTTTTATTAAAATAAAATTTAATAAATATTATCAAAATACTAAATATTTTCATATTTAATAATTTAAATATTATTATTTATAAATATTCATTCAAAATTTATAAAATACTTTTTGAATATTCAAAAAGTATTTTATAAATTTATAAGTGACTTTTTATTTTTTATATATTGATCTTTGATCTTCTTTCCGAGATAGTGCCCAAATTGTTATAATTTTTGTGCGTGTTGGAACTTACTTATATTTTAAATTTTGGTTAAGTTCCTTAATTTTTGGTCAACTAACTATTTTCTTTCAAAATATTATATTACTCAAATTTAATATCTTTATACGTTGCAGTGTTAGGAGTAAAATCAAATCAGAAATATGACAATCATGACCAACAAAATAACAACGAAAATATTTATTTGAAAGATCACTTATTCCATTAATGTGATACCAAAAAAGTTATTCTCTCTGTCAAAAAATGTAAGGCATTTTTTGAGGAGTTGAATGTTCAAAACTATAAGGCATTTTTAGTCTTTCGAGGTGTAATTATTATTATTTTTTCAAAATTGTCACTATTAATGAATGATTTTATATTTATTATAGGGTATTTAATAGGAGTAAATATGAAAAGATATGGTTAGTTTGAAAGTAAATAACTACTTTATTAAGGGTGAGATTCAGTTAAAAATGCCTTACATTTTTAAACGGAGGGAGTATTTAACAATAAAAAAATAGAGAGATGAGGAAAAAAAATCCCTTCATTAATTTGGAGGTTTATTTCCTTCATTTTTAATACAAAATTATAAATTATTAAAAATATTAAAATATTAAATTGGGTGGTGTAATGTTTTAATAATAATATTTAAATTATTAAATATTAAAATACTTAATATCTTAACAATATTTATTATAATTTATTTTAATAAGATTTTAAGGTATCCAATACTCCTAAAAAAGACTTTAGAGTGCTCAATACTCTTGGAAAAATAGCTTAGGGATAAATTAGCACCAAAGGATATAGTTAAAATCTTACATGTCACTATGTGTGAGCCCCACTGGATGTCATTTCAACATATAATGGCAGCTAATGGTTCATTAACAGAAGGGTTTTTTTTTCTCCTCAAAAGAATAATTTAGGTGTAAAATTGCCCCACTTAAGAGTATAGGATGCTCAATAATCTTAAAAAATAAGTACAGGAGCAAAATTAGATCTTAATTCTATTTTTAAATTAGAAGCATTATAGCTATTTCACAAATGACATTAATGTTATAAAAGTTTTGAGAGACTTAGGAAGAATTATCATATTTTGTTTAACTTTATTGTCATTTGTATATTTTAGAAAATTTTTTTTGTCATTTTGCCTAAACTTTAAGACATATGACTTTTTTTAAAAAAGATTTGACTCTTCTACATTTTTTTAAGTATCCTAAAAATATATTTTATTTTTTTAATAATAAAAAAAATAATTAACTTTAAAGTAAATATTAAGATTTAAGATTTGTTTAAAAAACAATTTTTTTCTTTATTCACGTTTGCTTGAATAAGCTAGAAGCTCGAGACTATTGGGCCAGGCGTATTTACATAGTTTTATTTTATTTTATTTTATTTATTTAAATTGGGTTTATTCGATTCCGGCGTACGGGCTGGCTGTCGATGGAATGAGTATTCTGGTAGTCCGGTAATTATGATTCCAACGAAAAAGAATTATCTCGGAAAGAACCAACCAAACAAGCATACCACAAGGAATTTAGGAATTCATGTGGAATTCCATTCCTACAGTGGACTTTCCAGAACCAAACAAGGCGTCAGACTCTCACCCTCGCTCCGTCGCTGACTCAGTCGGCGCCTCAGTCCTCTGGGCTCCCCTCCTCTCCATCCCCCGGTCACACGGTCACGAAATCACCGTCTTCTCTCACTCATGCTCTGCGATAGTTTCACTCCCTTGTCGACTGCTCATGATTCATACCCAGAAGACGAGCTTGCTTAGTCTCAGCCTCGTTCAGACCTCACTGACAATGTCACTCCCTCGCCGACTGCTCGTGATTCATATCCAGAAGACGAGAAATCTTGCTTAGTCTCAGTCTTGCTCAGACGACCTCACTGCCTCAGTCTAGTCTCTCTCTCTTGAGTCTTCAATCGTGTAAGTGTGCTCTGTTTCCTCTCTCCACCTTTAGTGTTTTTTTGTTTTTGTTTTTTGTTTTTGTTTTTATGCTTGTTCAACGGCGACGAGTTTGGGATAGATGTTTACTTTAGTGTGCTCTGCATGTTCAATGCCGTATGATAATTTTACTTTGCTTGTTCACTCAATTATGGGGTTTCAAAACCGTGACTGAATCATGATTGTCGATGTATTTGCTTATCACTCACTTCTTACGATTTCTTTCGTTATCTGCTTTATGTTTCTGTTTGTTTGGTCTTTGATTTTAGGAGAAAAGTTATGGTTATAAGTTGTTTTATATACTGAATTAGGAAGGTCTGAAAATCTGGAACTACAGTTGACGATAGTAGAGTAATACTGCTATCTTTCTCGATCATTTTGTGGCATTCTTTATATAATTCTATATCGACTGGCGTAGTCGTCCATATCATATCATATTTAAATTACTCGTAGTTTTTTTCACTTTGGGCCCTTTTGGATGGGAATACGATAAGGAAGGACCTTGATTAACTACTGACGTAATTTCATTCAAGTGACACAAGCCGTTCTGGGGGAAGCAAGAAAGAGAAAACATGGCAAAAGAATATCAGAGGTTCCAGAATTGAATTAAGGAGGTGGGTTCCGTGTTGCTGGCGGTGACAGAAGGATCGGAAGGAGTTGGGTTCACTTGGTGGAGAAGCAACAGCCAGGCTTTGCAGAAAATCAACTGGGATGTGTTTTAGTTTGGTGCTAGTGTGGCACATCATAGACAGTTGAATGAACCCAACAGTTTCTGTGGAAAGATGGGCAAGGGATCCAGATCCGTTGACAACTGTCATCTTTGCCCATCATCACCATTGATCCTATTGGTCCCCAAAAATCAAACTACTGGTACTCTATACTTCAACCTTGAACATCTGACTAGCCACTGCCTGCTACCAACTTCGACTACATCCTAGACTTCTTCCTTCATGTATAGCATGTTCATTTTGATGCGCCACAGGAAACTTCATCAAAATTGAAGCAAGCTAAAAGCCCGTTGCTGATTTCTTTTTCTTTGCTTTGTTTCTGTACTGACTTGAGTATTTATGTTATGATAGTTGGGTGTTGTTTTGGCCATAAAAGCTAGAAGCACTGTGCTTTGATTTTTGTTTTGTTCTGTCATGTTCCTTTTTTGGCCTCATCTTTTTTGCTCAAATAATGAAGATTTTACTGCTACATCTTTATGTGTAATTTCCATATGATAGGATTGCGAATTGAAATAGTGATCAAAGAGGAGGATCATAGAGGAGGAGAAGAAAGTAGAAGATTGAAGATATTGAACTGAGATAGGAGGGAGATTCACATTACACTTCACATAAGGTTCAGGTAATACATCATCAACTTATATAACTAACCAAAGACGCACACCAAACAACTCTTTGACTATTACAATGAAATTATTAAAAATTCCCCTAGCATGCAAAACGATCCTTATGAACTACCCCTCACAAAAGTTCATCCTTGTCCACAAGGATGCAATGATCAAGTAAAGTTGGGAAATGTTTACTTCAAGCGATGTGAGAAATCCCACGTAGCTCCTCCATCTCACATTTCCATTTAACCAACACTTGAGTGACAACTTAACTAACATATAACTTGGAGAAATCAGAATCGGAAAGAAATAACATATAAATCTGCTGCAGCTTTAAAATATCAAGAGGAGTTTGAGCATGATCTTTGCTTCTAAAAATAAGGATTGCCAAAGAAGTTTATCAGCAAAATTAGAGATTTTGTCATGTTATGATTATTATTATGTCCCTTGAAATTCTATTGGAGCTTTTGTCATGTTATACTAGGATGAAACTTTCTTTTCATTTTATATATCGTGGTTCTTGCTGTCTATCATTCAGTGTATCTCCATGTTATGTGGGATTTGCAGAGCATTTATTTGAAACTTGGTTATTGCTTTTCCCCACTTTATTAATTCCTTTCACTTTATGAAAACTTTGGCCCTAATGAGTTATGATGAAGTTTTCTTTGTATTTTATTTAGTGTTGGAATTGTGGCAATGCCATGGAAATTGAAGGGAGGCGATTGAGGAGGTTTGGGATTCGAAGAGAGTCAAGACAGAACCGTACACTTTTGCCGATACATGCTTCTGCCTCTGCTAATCTTTCTAGAACAATTTCCTGTTGGTAAGTTGGTAATAGTCTTTTTTGTGCATTTCATTTTCATTTTGCACTTTATCTATATTCTCTTTCTTAGTAGTGTTATCCAAATATATTATCTAGTAATAGATGCATAAACCAAAACCTTTCTAGAGCCTTTTTCCCCAAGAGGTCAAGTATTTTTTTTTTTTATAAATAGAAAAACCTACGTGTTTTTTTTTTTTTTGCCAACATGTTGCTTGCTCAAGATTCTTCACCCTAGCTTCTTGTGTTTGATTCTGGCTGCTCCAACTCTTCTGAATTCAACCAAGTTGTAGTACACGCTATGATGCCTTTTTACTTTTTTGACACTTGAAAGCCCAAAGATTTTCATGTGAGAGGGCTAGTTATATATATATATATATATTTTCATGTGAGAGGGCTAGTTATATATATATATATATATAAATCAAAATCATTCTCCTGCCCTTTCTTGAAAGTTTGAGATTTTGCAATTCAATAGTCTTTGACATACATCTATTAAAATGCAGGTATTGTGACTACAAAATCTCTGCTCTGAACAAACCCCTTTTCTATTTTGGCAGGAGACACTCCAAGTAGTATCTTTTGTTTCTATCATTTTTTTGTTCTTTTAATTTTTTTTAAACTTGATAGATATTTTTAACAATTGCATGCTCTTGTGAACTTCCCAATCTCAGGCTTTTGAAAATATGGTTTTCAGTTGGAGTTGGTTTTGCCCTATCTGCATTGCTTGGAGTTACTCTGGTATACAGTTGTTTCTTGAATTTCTCTTTTATCTTTGTTCTCTTCTATATTTTACTTATATTGTTTAATGTTTAATGCTGTTCCTTCTCAGATTCTCCTCTGGGAATTGGCCAGATTATTACGTTTTTGTAATGGCATTGGCAACAATAAACTTGGAAGTCTCATGCGTGCCCTGTTCTTTGGATTCCCCTCTTTGGTTAGAAACTATTTATTTCTTTGAAATTTATAATTTATATTTTTTTTTAGAAGAAAAGAATTACAAAACCAAGGATATAGTAATGGAAAAGTAACAACAAATGGAAAGTATGAATAATATATATTTTTCATGCTGGTGCTTACCTATTGGAATGCATGCAGCTGTCTGGTTTAAGCTTATCGCTAGCTGATGTTGGGTATATATGCATCTCTACCATCATGTCAGTTTTGGTGCATGAATTTGGTCATGCAGTTTCAGCCACTAGGTCAGTGTTTTTGCTCTACTTTTTACCAAAGTTGAGCAGCGAGAATATTTTGGCTTACCTATTGTTGTAATTGCAATATTGCAATTTCCATTTGAGTGTTATTACAGAGTACTGATTATCCATTTGAATCATGCCCTTATGTATGGCTCAATACCTCATTAAAAGTATTCCTTTTCCATAATTTTATGCAAGTTGTTTTATCTAATCCAATATACTGATAAACAAGTTGGAGTAACACAATTTATACCTTGCACTCTAACTATAGTATCTGTGCATCATTAATGATGCAACAAATTTAAGTAGCAGGCATAATTTTGTGTATGGTTTAGCCCAGAACCATTCTGTACAGAGAGGGAGAGAATGTGTATAAGAAAAATAAACCACGAAAGGCAAGGAAATCACAATTTTTGAAGCTTAGTCTGCCAACTTGTCCATCAACATTTTTCTTTATAAGTCATGTTCATGTGTTGTAATCAAGTTTATGATTGTTGTCAGCCTACCTTGGACATCGGATTATATGTGGGTGAAAAAAAAAAAAACAAAAACTCATTATGATTGTCTCTGCATGTTTTGGTTTATGTCCCATAAGGAATTCTTAGTAGAGAACCTAATCCCATTATGTTTAGCTTCTCAGAGTTCTGTCTAGCATATATTACCTACTGATTAGTTTGCAGATGTCATTAGCCCCATATTTAATTTTTCTTCAAAGGTCAAAGGCTTGATTCTCATGCTTATGCTATTGTACCTTCTAATGGAAAAGCAGTGAGGGAATCCAAATAGAGTACATTGCCATCTTCACTGCTATTCTTTTTCCTGGTGCTCTGGTTGCCTTTGATAATGAATCACTGGAAGCATTACCGAGCTTGGCTGCCCTCCGTGTGTATTCTGCAGGCATTTGGCACAATGCGGTTGTAAGTTTATGGGCCTCATTGTGTGTGACTGTGTGTGTGTGTGATAATTTTTAAGGATTGGATACGTTAATGAGCTAGACTGCTTATTATATTCCTTCTAGCTTCAACCCTTTTCCTTTAGTGTTGTGTAGCTTGTGGGCTGGCATTATTCCTCCTACCCTTGGTTTTGCTACCCTTTTACACACATGGTCAAGGTCCCATGGTAATTTTCTTTGTGCAAGGTAATGTTTTATTCTTTATCCTCACATCCTCTACTGACTTATTGCATGTCTTACTGTGTAGGTTTTGCATGTGCCTCCAGCATCACCCTTATCTGGTTATTTAGCTCCGGGTGATGTTATTCAGTCGGTGGATAATGTGCCCATTCACAATGCGCAAGACTGGGTACAGGTTAATAGTTTGTCCTATAATATGAAACTCAATAATGCAAATATTTCCCAGCACAATGGTGACTTGGGGGCAGTCAATGGAAGGAAGGGTTACTGTGTACCCAGCCATGTGATGGAAGAAAGCAAATTTATTAAATTTGCAGAAAACCAATATGCTTGTCCCAATGAACTTACTGCTTTTGTAAAAGTTTTTTGCCCTGGTGCTACTTCAAATGATGGTCAGAGTGAGGATCTTTTAAACAGGGGATGGGTATTTTACTGCTTAAATGCTATTGATGTTGTCAAACTTAAAAAATGTGGTGAAGAGTGGGGGTCAGTTACAGCAAGTAGGAGCGGCTGCATGTGTTCCAAGGTAAAGATTTATTTATATTTCAGCCTTTCTTGTTCGTGCCCATTCTCTTGCTCTCACATAGTATATACTCAATACGAAATTTTGTATTGATGGCGTTCACAGGACGAGTTTTGTTTAGCACCAGTTCAGGAGCCTGGATCAGTATGGGTTGAGATCACATATTTAAGCCCTTCTCATGAATGTCTGTCACTTCGAAGAAAAAAGTTTCCTGTTTCTGAGACATCTAACCTCAAGGAAACTGATTGTGGCGGCACTTTCATATTTGTTGGTGATGTGATTTTAATGGCGCATTCAATTCAGTTAACATCATATCAGCCTCGCTGGACTCTAAACTTTATTGCATATTTCCCAAATTTACTGGAAAGGCTCCTGCTATGGACATTCCATGCCTCTTTAGCCCTTGCTCTTCTCAATAGTTTGCCTGTAAGTCTTGAACAATTTCTGAAATGTTAACCACTGTCTTCTGTCCTGAATTAATTTTCCTTTTACTTGGTTTGGATGGAGTGAAAAGTGTGAAGAAAATTGGGAGGGAAAATTTCCAAAAATAGTAATTTTTTATAACCTTTTTTTAGGAGTTTTCTTTTTTTAATTTTCTTTCCCCCCTATTTTTCTCTCCATCCAAGTGACAGGGTAGTGTTGCTGGAAAAATTATGAGGATTTGAGCAGCTGCATGTTTAGTTTCAAGGGGATCGAATTGCTGTGTACATGGTGCTTGTGGATAATTTAATTAATGCGAACGGAAGCGTCCAAATAAAATCTTATACAAGAGTTTCAAGGTTGGAGATATCATTTCTTACTTCCAAGATTGGAAGGAGAGTGTAAGGAGAGATCAAGAGAATTTTGTTTTGTTGGTGGATTCGAGAAAAAACTACTTCCTTTTCATTGAAATTTCAACAAATTTATGAAAGTATTAATATTATCAACTCATGTCAGTCCTCTTTCATATTTGGCATATTAACACATATAATATGATTTGGGAAGAAATGTTCAGAATTTTTATAAAAAACTTTTGGAATATTGTATTGCAAATCATGTGATGCTTTGTTGTTTTTATTGCTAAATTTCCTCTAATTATGATTATATTGTCAGGTGTACTTTCTGGATGGTGCATCTATTCTAGACGTGGCTCTAAGTCACTTTACTTCGCTGTGCCAAAGGAAGAAGGAGAAGGTTCTTAGATTATGCCTCTTTGGTGGAACAGTAATTTCTATTGTCAGCTTTTTCCACGCATTCATTTAATTTCTCTGCAATCCTTAGGTGATAGTGGTAGTTTTAATTTGATAATTTTCTGATTATATGTAGTTACACCATCTTAATGGCTTTTAAAATGCATCATAAAGTATTTCTTTTGTTTTGAGGGTGAGCGTGCCGTAGAAATGGGGAGGAGTTGTGAGTCAATACTTGACTGATAGTAGCTGGTCTTGATGAAAAAGGGTTAATTTCTGCATAAACATGATGTTTTAGGTTTAAGCTCATGTGAATACAAATGTTATAGGACACGTTTGTTTAAAATTAAAAAGATAAGTGATTTTTAGGTAGTGTAGAGATTTATAAAAATAAATTTATTTTGTAGAGATTTTATGAAAAGTAGACATTATTTTATATTTGGTTATAATAATAAAAAATATTATTAGTTAGTTATGTTAAAATTTTACGATGTTACTTGGTTTATTTTATAAAAATATTTTATTATTATAAAATTTTAAAATTTTATTATATTTTTGTGCATTTTGTCTTTTTAAAATATTTTCATCTACCACATTAGATTATTTTTATTAAAATAATTTAATTTTTTTTTTAGACTTTGATTATTTTTAAAAGTTTAAGCAAACACAATAAAAACTTATAATATAAATTTTTTTATTTTCATGAAAGAAGTCAAAACAAATGGGCCTTTAACCTCATATGAATGCAAAATGTTTTGGGAGAGTTGTTTCAGTTTGAGACTTGCTTGACTTGATCCAGATTTGTTGAAATTTGATGTGGCCATGAAAGTTGACTGGTGAATGATTGGCTTCCCGAACAAAATTATTTCACCGTTTTCTCTTGTCAGTAATTTCTTTTCTGCAAATGAGACTCTGCTTGCTTGAATGAAACCAATTTAATCTTAATCCGAAGAAATAGGATAAAATCTAACATATCATAATGCACTGAAAAAAATAAAATTAATTTTATTAAAAATTTCGATTATCTTAAAAAAAAATATTTAACGTTTCCCATCATTCTCGCGCGGTACAGGGCTTGAAACCACAGCCCACTTTCTGAGCCTATCAAAGTCTTCAACGTTGGTTTTGGTATTGTGGGTGTTTTCGGGCCATGTCAGATTTAAGGTACATACAGTAAGCCTTTTTTCTTGTAGAATACTTGAATGGTCGTGCAAGTGGTTTAAAGGGAATAAATGAAAAGACAGTTATTGTAGATTTTGAATTTTTGAAATACATAAGACAAGTGCATGTGCCCATAACCTTCCACCACCAAAGTGGTCACACGCTGTTAAGCTACAAGACCATTGCCATGAAAGTTAATGGTATGAAGAAAGTAAATTGCAAGCTATAATAAAATATAAAGTAAGCACACCAAATTTTCAAAACTTTAAAGTTTAATCTTCATTTTTTCCTTAACCTCTCCTCTTTTTTCAATATTACCCGAAATTAACAGATGAGACACGTTGGCCATTATTGAGTAACATTTGACTAAAAGTTGTGAAGCTAGTACACCATGTAATGATGCTCTAAGTAAGAGTCAACATTGAAACACGTTCTCCCCATCGCAACCATATCTCTCCAAAGTGTTTTACCCCTACAAGTTGTACTTAAGTAGTTTTTATCTCAGTGTTCCTTGATGTGGGAAAATTGAGATAAACCCATTGACATGTTGAGTTGATGAGAACTAGATCGCTAAGCCATGGAGCTCTTGATTTTTGCTTCTAATCTTATTTTGTATATTCTCTTTTTGATTATGCTTGCTTCTTTATTCTTAGAAACAATTAATCTAGTGTTATTTTTTTTTATTACAGTTCATATTTGAGGCATGGTCAAGCATTAAATGTTAACACTTTTTTTTAGTGGAGATTCAAACTTTGGTTCATCAAGTTATAAAGGACAAGTCCTTTCTGTCAGGCCCAACCCTGTTGATACCCCTAAACTTTTTAAAACAATGCACAATGTCACTTGAAATTAACAGACGAGGCATGTGGCCAATAATGATTAGCATTTGACTAAAAGTTGTGGAGCTAGCATACCATGCAATGATGCAATGCATGAGTCAACATTGAAACACGTTCTCCCCATCCCAACCATATCTCTCCAATGTGTTCCCCCCCTCCACAAGTTATAATCAAGTAGTCTTGATCTGCTTGTTCCTTGTTGTGGGAAGATTGAGATAAAACCACTGACATGGTTGCCGAGTTGATTAGAACAAGATCGCAAAGCAACGGACCTCTTGATTTTTGCTTCTACTCTATTTTGTATATTCTCTCTTTGATTATGCTGGCTTTTTTATTCTCAAGAACTATTAATCTAGTGAAATTTTTTTATTACAGTTCATATTCATCTTCTCCATTACTAATTTAGAAATCTTAAACTACATTAGCTTCTCCCTAAGCGTTGCAGAGATCTTAGACTATGTCAGCTACCACTTCACCCTCATTGATATATTAAGGCCTCAACAATTTCAAAGGCCCTCTCTTGCATCCATGCACTCACCACTAACAAAACTCCAATACTGTTTTTTATTCTTGAGAACTCCCTTGCCTTGGTTAGGACTTAGGAAAGACATCGACCATGATGCACATGCAACATCTTTCCTATGATTGATGACCCTATATCAGCCATAAAAAGTGGATTTGCATTGTCATTAACCACCAATTAGGGTTCGAGCAGTGGCCAACCCCATCATGAGAGCACTTAGCTAAATAAGGGCACCATATTGTACAATTGGTATCCTTAAATTTTGATTGGCATAATGCTACCCTAAAGGTTTCCTTATAGTAACATTTGACCAACATCACCATTAATTGAACAATTATGAGGGTTAAAGAGCAATTTTACCCTTGAAGTTTGTTTGAAGGAGTAATTGTTATCCTAAATTTTCAGTTGGAGCACTTTTACTTCTTTTAATGGATGAGTTGTGAGGGATCCTTTAAGGAAATTCTCATGCAACTACAAGTATAATCCTTTGCTAGTAACTTAGATACTCAACTAGGTGTTATAAGTGGTAGAGTAGCCTTATTACTATAATTCACAAATATTCAACCCAAGTTGCTTTGATTAATCCCTTGCACCTTAGACTAGTCTATGTTGCCCATGGGCAAGTCTAAACAAGTATGTATTTGCTTATGGTTCTTGTCATAGAAGTTTTATCTAGAACAGGAAGTGATGGATAGTTAGAAGAGCTCTTGCTATTTCTTTGTAGAATATTTTGAATTTCATGTAGTGTAATTTCTTTTATGTCTTATTTTGATATGTATACATATGCAATAATATAATGACTTGATTCAACATAATGAAAATGACATAAAAAATATCAAAAATTATGATGTAAACCTATCCAAGGTCCGCTGCACTTTATACTTCTGGATGGTTGTGATAGTTATGGCCTGGAGCATTGTGGGCTCCTTCGTTCTGCTAGTTTTATGATAGGTTTTGTGGGTGGCACTCTCTTTGCAATCAAGCCATACCTATGGTTTCTTCGTGTCTTTTTTAAAAGTGAATCTACCTTGGCATTGTTGAGATTGTTAGGATGCTTAATTTTAGCCAAATTATTGAATTTGAAAGGTCTCATATTTGGTTTATAGTACCTTGCATCGGCATAGTGCATTATGGCATGAAAGCGCTAACTATCCACCTAAATGACCTCTACTTTATTTTGTTTCCACATAATCAAGCACTAGTACAAGGATGAGGGGATACCTCATTATTATGGATCTAATCCCTCTCTAAAAGGGCTTGATGTTGAGCTATTGAATCGATGACAAAGAATGCAGTTAGCATGCTCTTAGTACTCATAATGATCTTTATAGAAAGAATCCCTACCACCCTAGAATTGTCTTTGTTGAAGGATGCCATTGTCATATTAGTGGGAATCAAGTTATGTTCGATCTTCCCCACTTTCGATTGCAACTTCACAGGTAGCACGTTCTTAGCAGAGCCGTTATCCACTAGAATGTGTAACACAAGCACCCTATCTAGGTAGGCTCTTATGTAGAGAGGTTTAATGTGTTGTGGCATATGGCTGGTAGGTTTTTTCATCATGATCTTAGGTTCTCTTGATTTTTAGATGATAGAAACCTTTTGATTAGCTATCTCTACTACTTCTTTAGGATTTTTAGACATCATTTTGACTAAGGCACCCCAGTCGTCTATTTCCTCATCTCTCCTCCAATCTTTTAGTATTACTTGATCTCTTGTGGCTTCCTCCCTAATAGGTCTCTCCTTATGTTTGATCACAAAATAGTAGGCAATGTCAGTGTAATGGTGGAAAATGTAAGGAGGGAGGACCTACTGATATTAATGGTCAGTGAGGTGAGTTGATCACTTAGAAACGTATTCGAGTAATTGCTTCTTAATAATTTATTGGAATCAACATCTTTTGTGGCTCATTTTTAAACTTCACTTAGAGGGCCTTAATAAGAGCCTTGCCCCTTATGGCTTGAGCTAACCTTTTCATCTAGTTGTAGCCTTATACCATTAGAGGCACCATTTCGGTGTCTTCATTTGTGGGATAGGTGACTTGGATGCTCTGAAATTTTAAATTCTTAATCCAAAAGATAATTGCTAATTAAGGGTAATTTAGCATATTAATTAATTGATTGTGTAATAGTAATTTTGGGTTGTTGAACAAATGTATGATCAGGATCGAGTGGAAGAATTACAATATGGTGTAGAGTGTATGAGACAAAGTGAGAATCAACTCATTATGCCATGTGCCATGGTATAGGCACAATGTGCTGTGGCGCATGGGTTAAAAATTTCATAACAAATGAGGGGAAGAAACGGAAGCTCTGCTAGGGAAAAAACTATGGCTACTAAAGAGATAGTTTCGACTTGTTATTACCAAGTAAGCTTTTTATCTTCCTACTGTCTTCTTCTATCCTAATTTTTCTTAGTTTGGGATATAGAGAAATTGAATTGGGAGTTTTAAGAGGTTGTCTTCTAACTGAATAGTCATGAAAGGATCTTTAGAAGTGGCTTAGTAGGAAGATCCAATAGTTTATAGTGAGGAAAAGGGCCAAAATACTCATAGTGTTATCAGAGTTGTATAGAATTGACCAAACCATTAACTTTGCCTTAATGCTATTACTTTTTAGTGTTAAATGTTAACTGTACTTGTCACTTATTAGTCTTTGCTAATGTGGACTAAAAAAAAGGCAAAAATATTATAAAGTCGTTAGTCAAGAGCCCCAATAGCCTAAGGTAAGAAAATGAGCAAAAATACTTATAACATTACTAAAGAAGCTACAAAAGTAACTAATCCAATAAATTCTTTAAATGTTGACC